CTTCTCTTAGCACAACGCGTTTGCGATGCACCCACGTGGCAAGTGCCAGCGGCCTGTTCCTTCTCACGGTGGGTAACATCCGCGGCTGGTGTTCCGTGGCTCATGGCTAGTCTGGGACAACTGTGAGCAAAGCTGCCGTACACATTTGCACGCCGGTTGCGGAGTGAGCGTTGGTTTTCCCTTGGTAAACACCCAGGGCTGGGATCCCAGGCCATTTGGTCAGCAGCTGCTGAACTTTGTAAGGAGCTGCCAAGCTGCTTCCCAAGTGGCTGGACCGTTTTGCACTCTGGTCCGTGGCGAACGTGCACGTGGCGAACCCACGTCCCCGTCGGCACCGGCGTTGTGCTCGTTACTTGTTACCGTTTCAGCCACGCTGTGCACGCGCGTGTGGCTCACTGTGGTTTGATTTGCACCCCCCTGGCTGATGACATCGTCAATTAAGCACACTAACTAGGCCCAGCACCTTCTCATGTGCTTCTCTTCGTCTATCATTTTTTGGCGATGCCTTTGGGTCTGTTTGGATTCTTTGATGGAGTATTTCGTGGGAAATGCTTTCCTGACCCACTCTCTTTAGCTGAAAGATGGCGAGGGCAGTCAGAACCAGGGAGTGGTGACACTTGCCTGGGGTGGCCCAGTCCGCAGCACAGCTGGAACCAGAACTCTGCCAGGCGGCTGTTTTTCTTGTATAGAAAGGTACAGAGAGGAAAGAGCGTGGTGGCTCACAACACTAACCCTGGCGCTCTGGGAGGCCGGGGCAGGAGGATCCCTTAAAAACCCCTTCATCCACACTCTGCCCCAGAAACCTCAGTGCTGTCACCGTGTCCTCTTCCCTTGTCACCACATTTCTTAAAGATCGTTTACACCTCAGTTTCCCCTGACACATTCCTCCCTCGTCACCGTCCGCTCAATCCACACCTTCCGGAAGGTGCCGGAGTACTTTTCCTCCCGTCTGGTCCTTTGCACACGCTGGAGCCTTTGAGATGGGCGTCGGGCCTGAAGCCCACCCTCCCCAGCTCTGCACGCGTGTCTGGTGCACCGCCTGAGCTTGGCGTGGCCCAGCCCTCCCACGGGGTGGGGCGTGCAGTCCCGGGGGCAGCAGCAGGTCCCCTGCTCCGCCCCGCCCGGCGGCGGCGGCAGAGACGAACTGGACCCAGGTGGGCCCCGTGCACACGTGGCTCTGGAGCCTTCGCCAGGTGCCGCTGCCCTTCTGCACAGAGGGGACACTCGCCGAGGAGCTCGGCTTCCAGAGCCAGCTAAGCAGCGGCAGACGCCACCGGCCCACTGAGGCACAGCGCCACTTGCTGCACAGCTCTTGGCCGCGTTCTCCAGCCGGCCGCCCCTTCCCCGGGCTCAGAGCACCGCTGTCCCTCTCCAAAATCCAGTTCCCTCTCCAAGGGCAGAGGTCAACCGACGTGCTAGACACAGAGAGGGGCCGGGAGTGGGCTCCCCAACTTACTGCGTGACGCCGGGCCCGTCACTTGACCCCTTGACAGCTCAGCTTCGTACCTGGAAAGCTGGGATGACAACAGCGAGGATTCTAGGACTGTTAAGAGCAAAAGGCACAGGTGCAGTGGGGGGCGGCACGTGACAGAGCTCGAGGAATAGTGACAATGAAACGCAGCTTTCCAGTGGGCAGGCGGCCCCGGAGCCGTGCGGGAGCTGGTGTCTGTCCAAGGCCGGCGCGGAAGTCGCCGGCTCACCGGCTGCCGTCGTGTTTGCTCAGGAGATTACTCACCTCTGCGGGCTGTGCTGGGGCCAAGCGGCCCCTCCCTGGGCCTGGACTTGCAGTCCTGGGCCCGTGACGACAGACAGGTGGACAATGTCCGCCAGCCTTAGCTGGGTCTTTTGGGGACGTCCCTGCTGCAGCCGCGTCCTGCTGCCCCCGACAGCTTCCTGCAGGCAGGGCTTCCTCAGCCGCGGGCAGAGCGGACAGGGCAGGACCCGGGCGGGCAGACCTGGGCCGGGCAGGCAGGTCACGGTGGGGGGCTTGGGACCTGGGGCCAGGGTGGGACGCGGGCTCCTGGGCAGCCTCTGCCACTTATGAGCCTCCCCACCTTGACCGAGTCACGACGCCCGTCCGTGCCTCCGTTCCCTCATCTGTAAAGTGGGAACCGCAGACCCACACGGCTCGCCGTCTCTGCTCAGCAAGGCGGCCCCGACCACCACATTTCCCCTGGGCCACAGCCAGCTCCTTCTAGCACATTCCTCGAGGCGTGCCCCAGGTCTGAGCGCTCCGTCTCCCCGGGGAGGGCGTAACAAGCTGGCGGGGACGGGGGTGGGGGTGGGGGCGGCACTGCGCAGAGGCCGGGAGCTCGGTCAGCGTGGGCGGGGCGGAATCGGACCCCGCAGAGCCACGCGAGAACGAGACGAGGAACAAGTGGAAACCGGTGCCTGTGAGGGGCCGCGGGGGCGCGAGGCCCCCGGCACACGGGGGAGGCCGGACCACGGGGCGGGTTCGCTGGGCCCCGCCTCTGCCCAGCACATCGAGGCAGAGAGCGCAGTGGGCGGCGAGGGGCAGGAGCCAGCGAGGGGCGTGGGGCCGCAGGGCTGCGGGCGGCCGGCGGCTGCGGAGAACACAGGTGGCTTCCCGGGGCCTGCCCGACGGTCCCCACGCCCTCCCCATCGCCACCAGGCGTGGCCGAGGACGGCGGCACGGTGGGTCCTGCTACCAGGTGGGCCAGGGCACCTTAAGACACTTGTGTCCGCCGAGTCGGCCACAGCCCACGGACGCATCGCCTCCACTCACCCCCCAACTGCCGACGCTGACCCCACAGGGGAGGGATCGCCCCACTGTACTGTGCAGACGGACACACCGGGGCTCTCAGAGGCGGAGAGGCTCACCCAGGCACCCGCTGTCACCAACACGCTGGATGGGATGGGTCCCAGGATGGGCACCTCGGTCCGCTGCTCAGAGGACGGGTGAGCTGAAGGCGCACCCAGGGGGAGGGCCGGGAGGGCCCGCCTGTGCTGACGGGCCGGGGATGGTGGGGGGCTTCTCCAGCCACGGCCTGTGCTGATGGACCCGGGGTGGGGGTGGGGGGTCCTTCTCCAGCCACGGCCTGTGGCGGGGCAAGGGAGGGAGGGAGGGAGCGTTGACTTTGTGCTGCTAAGAGAGACTGGGTGATGGCTAATTTTAGGTGTCAACTTGACCGGGCCACAGGGCGCCCTGATTTGATGTTATTTCTGGGGGTGTCTGGGAGGGTGTTTCTGGATGAGATTAGCACTTGAGTCGGGGACTCAGTAAGGCAGGGGCCGTCCCCGTGCAGGGGGCCGGTGGGCAGCGTCCAATCGCTGCATGGAAGAGGGCGAGGAAGGAGGAGCGCCCCTCTGGCCCCCTGCCTGCCTGCGCGGTTGCGCGGCGCGTCTCACCGCCTTGGCCCCCGCACTGGGAGTCGCACCCCCGGCGGCCCAGGTTTCCAGGCCTGTGGACCTGGCTGAGTCGCACCACCAGCGGCTTCCTGGGGTCCCCCGTTTGCACATGGCAGGAGTGGGACTTCTCGGCCTCCATAGTCACAGGGGCCAATTCCTCATAAGTCCATCTCTCTCTCTTTCTTTGCACATACATGTACACACACGTGTCTCCTGTGGCTCTGTCTCTCTGGGGAACCCTTATCCCTCCGCCTTGATTACGCACAGCTGAAAACTCGGAAGAAACGTCCCCTGGCTTGCAGGAGGCCCCTGCCCTACCCCCTAAAGACAGTTCCACTGGGGACAGAGTGCTGCGGACATCTGGCCCCAAAGACAGCGGTCTCTCCGTCACCCTTCGTGCCTTGCGCCTCAACACTGGGAGCTGACCCGACCTCACGGGTGTGCCGGCTGACTCCACACAGCCCGGCTCGCGCAGGGCGAGGGCACGCGGGCTGGCTCACCTGCGCACCAGCCCGGGCTGAGGGGCCCAGGTGGCTGCAAGGAGGTGGGTGGAGAACAGGTAAATGACAGGTAAGTGAACCGGTGTCCCGGAACAAGTGTGCCCCTCACCAGGAAGTGTAGGATGAGCAACGTGCCCGGAGCTGAGAACGGCCCGCGGTCCGCTCGCGCGGGCTCCCAGGGCAGCCCGGGGCCCGGGTCGGGAGGCACCGCTGGCCACCCCGCGCACGCGTGTGCAGCAGTGTCATCGTCAGAGCATGTGCGCATTTGGAGGATACGAATACACCGTGATCTCAGACTGTTCCCGAAGGGAAAATGGCAAGTAAAATGGGAAGATTAAGATCTTTTCAGGTGAGGAGTTATGAAGACACAAGAATGGGTTTCTAAAACACATTTGCCTTTCTGGAATGCAGTCACCCCATCACAACTCACTGCAGCCTCCAACTCCAGGGCTCAAGCGGTCCTCCTGCCTCAGCCTCCCGAAGTGCTGGGACCGCAGGCTGAGCCACCGCAGCAGGCCTGTTTCCCTTTTTGACCCCAAAATACGGTTTGTCTGCTCAAACTGAGGCACCCGTCTGACTGCCGTTAGCACGCCTGAGCGCTCACGCTTGCAGGAACGTGCATGTTATTGTGTCCTGCTTTATTGTGCAGCGTGGCCTGTGGACGGTTCTGCCGTGTTTTTGTGTTTATAGAAACCATGGCCAGGGGCAGTTGCGGAGTAGAGACAGGGGCAAAGGCAGGGGCAGGATCGCTCCAGACAGAGTTCCAGGTGCGTGAGGACTGGAGGTTTGAGAAACCGGTGCTCCGGGCTGGGCCCAGCCTTCGGGGAGGGCAGCTGCCGAGGGGCAGCGGGGGGGAGTCGGTTAGGTCCGGTACCAAGTGGGCTCACGTTTTAGAACATAAGGAAATACCGGAGGATTTTAAAGATCTTCCACCCTCGTTATAAAGGTAATAGGTTCTGCAGGCACACAGATTGGAAAATACATCTCGCCCGCTTGCCAGCGTGTTTATGGCCCTTGCATGAACGGGCTGACAACATTCTGTTCTAGGGTGCGGGTGGCTGGCCACGTCTCACAAAAGAAGTCATTGTAGATTTTCACGTGTCGTGACATCAGTAACCTTCGTGACTCTGTCTCCCCTAGAAAAGAGTGTGAGAATGAGGGACCGAGTCCTGCTGGATTCTACCGCAAGCATCGGCGTGACTCTAAGTCACTGCCGCACGGGCAGGTGGGTGGACGGATGGGTAGGGACGTCTGTCCTTCTGTGAAGTCTTGTCTACACAGTCCAGTACCCTGCGTGAGTGGGAGGACCTGCTGTGTTCTGCGGTGAGCGGGTCCGTGCAAACCTACCCCTAAAGGCGGAGGAAAGCCGGGAAGCCAAAGAAGGCGGCTGGCAAACCCAGTTTCTCGGAAAGAATCGTTTAATGGGGACTTAGGAACAGAAGCCATGCCTTGGGCGGCCGAGATTCCAGATGGCAGATCCCGGCACTGTTTGTTCCCAGACCGAGAGCTTATCTGACTACCTGGGCAAGAACAGCCGCAGGGCCATCGAAGTCCACCCCTCAGGGAGAGACAAGAATTTGCCTAAGGGCGGGATTCGCGGTAAGTATGTGTTTAGGATAACAGCAAGGTTGTTCTGGCCAGAGGGCAGGATTTACGGTAAAAGTGGAAATCTTAGAGGCATTCCGGGAACTGGGGTTAATGCAAGACGGAGCTGAAGTACCTCCACCATCCGCTCCACCGGCCGGACTGGCCCTGGGGGCGGCGGCTCTGCCTGCACTCTGGCAGCCGGGGCAGGCGTCCCACCTCCCTGAAAGTGCTGGGGGACGATTTGTAAGCAGATGTCCCCACTCAGAGTTGGCATACAGATTACTATAAGCTGAAGACATCTGAGATTCCACAGACGCAGAAAAAACCTTCTTGGACCTTCCAGTAGCCGATTAAAAACAGCAACTTCTGGAAAACGGGGCTACTATAAACCCCCTCTCTGGGCCCGTTCTATGGCCTTGAAGAGGCTGGGAAGACCACCCACGCCTGCACAGACGAGCACTACTACAAAGCTGCTCGTTGCCCGACTCTTCTAAAAACCCATTTTCTTTCCTAAAGACATCTACTTGTTTTCCCATAAAAGCCATTCTCCCCTAGTCTCCTTTGTCTGCTAAGTAGTTATGTCAGCATTAACCCGTAGCCACTTAACAAGCCAGCTACTTCTGTTGTCGGCTCCTGTGTGCGTGTGAAAGAAATCCTTTTCTCTTGTTTGTCTGTCTCTTGTCAGCTTAATCTGCAGGCCCCAGTAACCGAACCTAAGAGGGTAGAGAAGAAGATGTTTCCTAACCTACGCAGACAGTGGTCAGACCATCCGTGACAAGGGAACTCCGGCTTACAACTTCCGCAGCGGTTGGCCCAGAGTGGCCAGGAGTTGGCTGATGACTGCCAGCGCCAGCTTTTCTGATTTTGTTTCTGCCTCTAATTTAGGGCCAACCAGAGAAAGGGACATATGCTCCCCTTGGCCAATCCCACAGGATGCCGCCCTTCCAGAGAACCCGCCCCAGCTTCCTTGGGCCCACAGCCTCCTTCAGGGCACACCTGGAGGCTTTCAAAGCTTTCCTCCTCCCCCGCCTGCCTTTGGGTCCCTGCCAAATGCAAGTGAAGGGGGCTGAGCCCCTGCTGTCACCAGCTCTGAACACATCTGGGTGGTCTCCCTTTATTTCCACCATGGGGATGACAGTGCATAGTATCAGGCACTCGACCGTTACCGCGGGTCCTGCTTTGGAGCAGCAAGGGCCTTGAAGGAAACATAGGGGAAAAGCTCCATGACATTGGTCTGGGCAATGGTTTTTTTTTAGATATGATGTCAAAAGCACAGAAAACAAAAGTGAGAATAGACAAATGGCATTACATCAAACTAAAATCTTCTGCACAAGAAAGGAAGCAATAAACACAGTGAAGAGACCTATGGAATGGGAGAAAATATTTGCGAGCCATCATTTGATGACAGTTTAATATCCGAAATATGTAGGGAACTCAAACAACTCAATTAGCAAGAAAGCAAATAACCTGATTAAAAATGGGCAAAGGACCTGAATAGACATTTCTCAAAAGGAGACACACTAATAATGGCCAAGGGGTATATGAAAAGATGCTCAACACCACTAATCATCAGAGAAATGCAAAGAAAACCACAAGGAGATATTACCTCATGCCTGTTAGAATGGCTATTATCAAAAAGATGGAAGATAAAGCATCGGAGAAGATGTGGAGGAAAGGGAACCTTCGTGTGCTCTTGGTGGGAACGTAAATTAGCGCGGGCATTGTAGAATACAGTACGGAGGGGTCTCAAAAATTACAAGTGGAACTGTCATCTGATCCAGCAATCCCACGACTGTGTGTATGCCCAGAGGAAATGACATCAGTATGTTGGAGAGATAGCGGCACTCGTGTGTTCATTGCACTCACAGTAGCCGAGAGACGGAATCAACCGAAGTGTCCATCCACGGGTGAATGGATGAAGAAACGTGGCATACACACCACCGATGCTAGTCAGCCTTAAAAAAGAAGGACATCCTGTCATTTGTGGCAACATGGATGAACCTAGAGGACATATGTTAACTGAAATAAGCCAGGCACAGAACACAAATAACACGTTTATTTATATGTAGAATCTGAAAAATTGGACTCACAGAAGCAGAGTAGGATGGTGGTGGCCAGGGCTGGAGGTGGTGGGTAGGAGGTTGTGGAGATATTGGTCAAAGGATACCAAATTTCAGTTAGATAGGAGGAGTAAGTTCAAGAAATCTATTATACATCATGGTCACTACAGTTAGTAACAATGTGTTGTATTTTTGAAAATGGCTAAGAGAGTAGATGTTAAGTGTTCTCACCACATAAAAATGATGAGGATGTGAGGTAACGCCCATGTCCATGAGCTCAGTTTAGCCATGTGTACATTGTGGAACAAAGTATCATGCCATATACCACAAATATATGCAATTTTTATTGGCAGTTTAAAAAAATAATGAATTTTAAAAAGTAAACTGAAAATAACAATTGGGAAAAAACACTCCACAAATTTATCTGCTCCGGTTCTGGAGGTGAGAAGTCCGACATGAGCCTTAGGGGGCTAACATCAAGTGTCGGCAGGGCCGGTTCCTTTCCGGGGACCCAGGGGTGAAGCACTCACTCTAGCCTGGGCAACAGAGTGAGACTATGTCTCAGCAACAACAACAACAACAAAAATATATATATATAAGAGGTGCTAGATCACTGTCGTTTCTTATACTTGAGTAATAGTCCATTGCATACATATACCAAATTTTAATAATCCACTCATGAATTGACGGACACTGGGTTGTTTCCAAATCCTTTTTTTTGCCCAGGCTAGAGTGAATGCCATGGCGTCAGCCTAGCTCACAGCAACCTCAATCTCCTGGGCTTAAGCGATCCTCCTGCCTGAGCCTCCCGAGTAGCTGGGACTACAGGCATGCACCACCGTGCCCGGCTAATTTTTTGTATATATATATATATATATTTTAGTTGGTCAATTAATTTCTTTCTATTTTTAGTAGAGACGGGGTCTCGTTCAGGCTGGTTTCGAACTCCTGACCTCGAGCCATCCTCCCACCTTGGCCTCCCAGAATGCTAGGATGACAGGTGTGAGCCACCGCGCCCGCCATGTTTCCACATCCTTGCAGTAGTGAATTGTGCTGCCAGGGCCGAGGTTTCAACACAGGGGTTTGAGGAGGGCATACACACTCGGGCCCTAGCGAGGAGTTCTAGGTTCCTGGAAACTCAGAACGCTGTTTTCCTCCCTCTCTCCCTCCCTTCCTCTTTGTCCACGCATCAGCACTGCGTTAGGCACCAGGAAGGTCTAACAAAGGGATCCGCCCCTTGGGAAGAGAAACACCCAGTGTGGTCCAAGCATGGCTGCGTGCTTTGGCCCTGGCGATGACGGGCCAGCACGAGGACTCGCAGGTCCGCGATCCACTCGTGCCGATAGCATCACACTTGTTCTTTCCTCCCCCTCCGGACGCGGTCCCGGCGCCGGACAGGCGGGGTGCTCGGCTGCAGGGAAAGCAGCTGCGCCCGGTGAGCATGCCCAAGTCCACGGCACACCCGGAGGCGGGAGCCAGACGTTGACCCCAGTCCCCGCTCTGCGCTCGCAGGGCACCTGTCACAGGTGTTCCGGGTGGCGGCTGGCTGATGGCCACAGCTGGATGGAGGGCACCTCCCTATGAAGATGCCCTGTCTTCCCCGGGGGAGGGGCTGGACCCCACATCAGGGCCCCTCACTGCAGCTTTCCTGTCCTGAGAGCCTCCCCCGGTTTGCCTTTGTCCCCGTCACTGCCACCGCTCCCGGCCCCAGCTCCAGTGCACCCGGGACTGTGTACCTGTCTGGACTGCACTGGTCCCAAGTCCCCCTGGGAGCCAGGCGTGCGTGGGGTGTCCCAGGTGCAGGACACCAGACGATCTGGGAGCAGTTGGTGAGGGGTGGGGGTGTCACCCTGGTGGCTGAACAAGGCAGGAGGCAGCCCAGCTGAGAGTCGTGCTTAGGGGTGTGCTGGTTGGGGGTGTGCTGGTTGGGGGGTGTGCTGGTTGGGGGTGTGCTGGTTGGGGGTGTGCTGGTTGGGGTGGTGCTGGTTGGGGGGGTGGCGGGTTGGGGGGGTTCGGGTTTTGGGGGGTGTGCTTGGTGCTGGTTGAGGGTGTGCTGGTTGGGGGGTGTGCTGGTTGGGGGTGTGCTGGTTGAGGGTGTGCTGGTTGGGGGGTGTGCTGGTTGGGGGATGTGCTGGTTAGGGGTGTGCTGGTTTGGGGTGTGCTGGTTGGGGGTGTGCTGGTTGGGGGTGTGCTGGTTTGAGGAGGTACACTTGTTTGGGGGTGTGCTTGTTTGGGGGGTGCTGGTTTGGGGGTGTGCTTGTTTGGGAGTGTGCTGGTTGGGGGGTGTGCTGGTTGGGGGTGTCATGCTGGTGGCTGAACAAGGCAGGAGGCAGCCCAGCTG